AAAAATCCAGTTCACAAATATAACACTGACTTTCAGCAACCCCCCCTCTTTCAGTCTCTCCAAAATCCTGTATATAAAAAAAATCCCAATTCTCCATCTTTTTTTCGAAAGCATGAAGCTAGCTCTCTGACCTAAAAACCCCGATTCTCGAAAAAAAAATCCATTTCTTAACCTATCTTCCCCTTTTTCCCTGAGAAGATCCTATTCTTTCGCCTTGGACTCCCTAAATTGGAGCAACCGACCCCCCCCCCTCCCCCCACTTTTTCCCCCCCATTTTTGCCTTTAAGAGATCTTTTTACCGAAAGAACATTCCCGAAACGGCACAAAGAACGGAACAGCCTGAAATGGAATTGAAGCCCTGTAATTGGACAGCATTGGGTTGCCCGACCAAGTCAGGTCTCATACTAGGTAAGAGGCTCGTAATAGGACTTGGATTAGATGTCTTCAGAAATTCGATCCAATTGGCTCTTCGAACCAGGCTCACCCAACGTTGAATTGGTCCTTTCCCTTTTTGCTGACTCTCGTTACTAGAATCAAATGGAGCATTTCGTTATTGGTGAGTATGCTCCGGCTAACTGTAACAGGATGACTGATCCTGGCTTCTCAATATTTACACCGGAATTGGCCGCCGCTTCTAACATCCAAGGTGACTAAATATTAATAATCTTCTTCATTTATATTTTTATCATATAGACATGTTACAATACGACATCCATCCCCTCTGAACCTGTGCATCCTCCAGTATGCACCAATTAACCTAGTTGCCATTTGATTCATAATATGTTCTCCAAATCTTCGTCTAGTCCATCTTCATCGTCTCTGCTATCCAATCAATTTCATCTTCCCACTGTGGAATATCTATGTCTTCATTAAGGTCTTCTATATTTATTTCTACATATCTTTGTTTAAACAATTTCACTCTCTTCCCTGCAATTGGTATTTTTAACCTTGTGCCATCTAACTCCCGCAATGAATAAGTCACATTATCATGAACAATTATTACCACATACGGTCCAAACCAACGTTTTGAAAACTTCCATAAAGTGCTATATTGGTTGTCCAGACTACTATCATAAATAAGTACCGAATCACCTTCTTCAATTGCTTTAGGTCTCAATCGATGTTGCTTATCGAATCGTGCCTTGTTTTGTAACCTTGCTCTTTTTAACCTTTTTAATGCTATTTGCACATCTTTTGATCTTTGCTCCAATAGTAGATTTTAGTTGGTTGTAGAATATAATTTGATTATTACTTTGAGAAGAGGTTGTTTAAAAAGATTACTATAGAATTTGTATAACTTTAATTTCCTTTTGATAGTGGCTTTTAAGATTGGTTTTGATTGATAGTAACTTCTAAATATTTAGAGTCACCTTTGTTAGACATTGGTGACATTTGAAAACTTATTTTGGTTCTTTTATTTAATGTTTAAAGCCTACATTATATAAATCTTATAAGAAAAAGGATTGAAGAAAGATTTTGGTAGCAAAGGGAGTAATTAGGGCACCAATATAAATGAATGGAGATGAAAAATAAAAATCTCCATTCCTACTAGTCAAAAACCATGACCAATGGGCTTTGAGGAGGCTGCCTGAGGCCATATTAGGGATTAGGGTTAGTTTCTCGAGGCCATTCGAACATTGAAGGCTAGGATCAAAAGGTTTAGGTTTTTGGTTAAGGTTTTGGTACAAGTTTTGTGTCATTTGGAATTTTTATGAAGAAGTTATAGGCACTCAAAGTTAAGGTGTTAGTTTTGGACCTACTATCACTCTTTTGGAAAAACGCATGCGTACGAATGGCAATTGAAGATCGGCGACCACGACTGGAGAGAGCACTTTTGCGGCTATACTTTTTGCATACTGCTTACTGGATTCTAAGTTGGAATGAAGGAGTTATTGGATTTTGAAGTCAGCACATGCAATCTAAGGGTAGTAAATAAACCGATTTACTAGTGTTTGTCTCTTGAGCTATATCTTGAGCAATTTGACAAGGTTTTGGCTCAAAATTTCAAGGAATGTGTAATTTCATGTTAGTAAACTTTATTCATAAGTTTTATGATATTTGGAGTTCAGATTTTTGAAATATAAGGAAAATAGTTTTTTGGGTGCTTGTAAATTAGGATTTGGAGTGTCTTCTAGGGTTTCTTAGATGCCAAAAGATTAGGAGTGAAGTTGCAATTGGTTTTTTTTGTGGTAAAATTTAAGGGTAAATTCTACCTATCTTGTAAATTTGAAACAAACAAAACAGTTAGATCAATAGTTATGATTTTCTAAAGTTCAGGGCAAGAAAACCCTTTGCGGGAAAAATATGTTTTGAACGGATTTTGTTATATTTGGAGTTTTATACAAAAATAAAGGAGTTTCGAAAGCCAAGAAAAGAATCATATAAAGGTTTGAAGTACACTTTCTATAGCTAGATACCCAGTGTATTCCTAGATAGCAAATCATGCCATATGACAATGACAAGGGATGCGCTCTACATCAGTCTATACATCAGCTTTCAGGCAATTAGTATGCGACATCAATTGGAACTAACAAATATTGATGAGTCAATTCTATTGGGATTTAAGGGACGATGTGAAGGATTTGCTGTTAACTCTTCCTGATCTGCAAATGTTCAACGAAGCTATTAGCCAAGCAGTGAAGTACGATAACGACCTATTCCAACATTGCCAAGACCAACGCTCAAGACAACATACGGTTTGCCACACCCCAACTATGTCGATAAGCAGCATGAATTTACATTCAGAGGTAAAAGATATACAAATTGATGTGGTACGTGTCAAATTCCTTACTCTTCAAGAAAAAAAGCAACGTATGGAGGAAGGTCTATGCTTGTATTGCGGTGAAGAAGGCCACAAAGTTGGAAACTATCCCAAGAAATAAAATCGATGCACTATCAGGACCAATGGCACGTTTGTTCAGGAAAACGAGGATGCCCAATCACAATAGGAATCATGCAGCTAGATAGTGAAATATCGCAACAACAACTAGGTTCCTTTCTTTCTGCTCAACCTACCCTTTGTTTTATAATCTCTCTGTTTATTAGTCCTCAAAAATTGAGAATCTTAGCATTATTAGATTCAGGAGCACCCGCTTGTTTCTTAGATGAAGGATTTGTGAAGCATCATAAGATCCCTTTAGTACAAAAATCCAAACCTGTTCACGTTGAGGTCATAGATGGGTGATCTTTATTGTCTAGTAGTATCACCCATGAATCAGAACCTATAGAAGTGACGTTTAAGGGCCATAGTAGTCATATTATTTTCAATATTATTAGAATCGCATCAAATCCTATTATTCTTGATCTTTTCTGGTTGAAAAAGCATAACCCATCCAGAGATTGGAGGTTGCGGAAGATGACCTTTCCCACATAACCACCCAAGAGCAAGGCTAGTAGAAAATCCTAAATAGAGAAATCTTTATTCATTGGAGCAAGAGTGTTTATAAGATCGTCCAAAGAAGGCACATCGTTTGTCATTTATGCGGTTAACTTACTTTTACCTACTTACTTTTATTTATTTATATGCAAGGTTTTATAAAGAAGATCAATATTATTTGCAATCTTAATGAATATAAAAAAAATATTTGACATATTTTAAGAAATATAAATTTATATTAATTAATTAATTAGTTAAAATAAAGAATTTATCAAATACTTTAAGAGTTTATTTTTAAAATAGAAAATTTAATTAATTAACTAATATAGAAGATAGAAATAAATAATCAAGCAAATATAAAAGATATATATAAAGGTACAAAGAGTCCTAAAACAAGAAATCATAAGTTTTTTTTGGGTGCATGTAGAATAAGTAGTTATTTGCTGATTTGTAGATACTTAGTTTATAGTGTAAACAGGGATAGATGACTGTTGGAAAGGTAGTTCAGTAGTTAAAATGGATGAATAGTTAGAAAAAGTAGTTTTCATTAGAGATGTAGCAGTTGGTATCTCGTGGTAGGATAAGGAGGATGAGAGAGAGGAAGAAACGGCCATTACTGTGATAGTGTGAGCCGAGGTAAGCTTGGTGCTACCTCTTTTCTTTTGTTGTTATGTTCTTTGAAATAAGAGTATTGAGAGTTTCTGAATATTGTGAAGTGAATCATGGAATGAAAGTGTGATTGGAATTATATGTTATTGAATGAGAAGAAGAAAGATTGAATGCTGAAATCTGAATGTAGTTCAGTAGAAAGAGTGAATCTGTGGTTGTGTGAAACACTGTAATGTGAATGGTAGTTCTGTGTGAAGAATTCCAGTAATTGGAATGAGGGTAATTATGTGTTGAAGCTGTGATGTTGCGGTATTACAGTTGGAGATTATAAGAGTGAAGATATATTGGTGGAAATAACAGTTATTGGTATGACTGAATTGTTGTAAGGAAGAGATTGATAAGGTGAAAGGAGAGATTATAGTTTCCTTGTGTGCTTAGACAATGGAAATAGAGACGATACATTGGAGGTAATTAATTGTGTGACCCTAATGTGAACGCTTAAGCAACTAATCACTCCCCGTGTTCGAATTCCCCTATACAGGTTTATTTTGGAAGGTTTCTTTCGGAATAAGTAAAACGATCAACCACAGTGCACCACAATTATTATAATACCTTGCCATATACAAAATATCTACATTTTCCATCCTTTATTCTTGCACCAAATTCCTTTTTTATTTTACATGCCTCATAATTAATTACTTTTAAAATGGAGCAGCATTTCCAACTTAAATAAACACTTATTCTTCTTTGAAACTCCCCCATTCTTGTCAACAAATCTATCTACAATAAGCCATACCCTATAATTCTACCTTAATCCTAATTACAACCACAATTCCTCATTCCACAAACACCAAAAAGTTAGAGAAATCTCCAAGTCCTCAATAAAGTAAGTTAGAGTTTTACCTTTTACTTTATACTTTCCACAATAATTAGAACAGTGGCGATATCCCCACGACTGAAAAATGAGCCCGGGACGAAGCTTCGTTGTTGCAGGCCTTGGCGTTGCGCTCTGGGGTTTTAGAAGCTCAGCGTGGATTTTGGGCTAGTGTGGAATTGGAGGTGATTCCTTGTGAACGCTCTTTGAGGGTTTGTCACCTCTTACGTATGTGGGTTTCTTTTTACAGCTGATCTAGCAGCTGGGTGTCGCTTTTCTTCTTCTGGGGTTGAGAGGTCGCGCTGCTGTGATTGTAGCTAAGGAGTCAGCTCTTTGGGATGTGGATTTCTTCGTTGTGTGCTTGGGGCTTCAATCGCCCGCGCGCGATCGAGTGGATAGAGAGATTGCACTGATTTCAGGGTCGAGCGGCTGAATTCGTGACCCCGAGGTTGGGAGTCATTGTTCTGCGGTCAAGCTTTGAAGGAAGGAAGGGCGCAATGGGCGCCATGGCGTCCCCCCGCGGCGGCAGTGATGGTCCATTACCACTTCAAATGTCGAATCCCTCGCAGCAAGCCTACATTTCTGAGCTTCTTTCGTTCAACTTGGAGCGGCTTCACAAGGTGTGTTGTTCTGTCCTTGCTGGTCAGGTCGCTTGCTTTTCTTCGCTGGAGGGTCACAGGATTTGTCCTGAAGGAATTCCTCGACCAGTGTTGCTTGCATTCGAGTATGTGTTTGATCCCTCGGGTCGAGTCTTTTATTTCAACATGTTTACAGTAAGTAGATTAGAGGATTTTTTTTTTTTTTTTTTTTTTGGAGAATGACGAACTTAAGTCCTTTTACGACGAGGCTTGATGAGCTTGTGTGAAGAACCTGATTAATGGTCACCATGACCTAAATGGTTTGGTATCTGCAATCTTGTGTAATGTATTTTATATTACACGAGGGCGAGCAGGCTTCGGTTGTATAGCAAGCTCTTAATGGTAGATAACACTTAGTTGACTGCACTTGGAGTTTGAGCTCTTTTATGTAAAAGATGAGTGTTCTTATGCAACGATGATTTCCTTCAGGAGCCAGAGCTTTTGAGAGTAGATGGGGAACGAATTCGACGACAGATGCAAGAAGTTGCAGTCGGGCATTATAGAGCTTTTATCGCCGCTGCTGATGCGGTCCAGAATATAACGCATGAAATCACAGCCGTGGACGAGCATTTGAAGACTTTAGTAAGTCCTAATGTCATTCTAATACGAGTTTTGACTTTGCGCACATAATGTAATTTTCTTCAATTGGTGCAGTTTAATAATTTTCAGTTTCATGACAAGCATTGTTGCTCATACTTCCCAATCTGGACTTCGGCATATAGGTGTGTGGATCACACCAGCGTTGAAAAGAGAAATAGACACGTTGATTTCCATGATGAGATGTTCCCCCGTATTCTTACAGTTTAGGGTTATGTGCCTCTACAGTCAATGTCTGAGACTTCGTTGTCTTTAACTGCCAAGATTGCAGAAATTCCGAATCTCGTCACCGGCTGCAATGACTTCATGGACGATGCACAGCAGATTTTAGAGAAACGACAGTTGAATCGAACTCTGCTCGCTAATCATAGTTCGCTTCTGGATTTGCTGGAGATACCGCAGCTTATGGACACGTGAGTTTATCTGTGATCGTTAGAATGCTGTGCTTCAAATCAGTTTTTATTGGTTTTTGATTCTGTTGAATCATAGTGCAGCAGAGAACCAGCAGAAAGGATGGGCAGTCGAATATTTATTTCTAAATGGTACTGCAAGTTGCTCATATCCGATGAGTTTTGTCAACTCTCACAGGTTGTGAGGATCAGATTTTTGAAAGCTGGTGTTGTGTTGGATTTTTCACTGAGTAGCTTCTTATCAGTGCAGATGTGTGCGAAATGGGAATTATGACGAAGCTCTTGATCTGGAAGCTTTTGTCACAAAGTTGGCAACAATGCATTCAAGGTAAATTTTTTTATCATACGAATTACACTTTTTCTGCCATATTCAGCTTACTTGGTTCCTGATTCCCAAGTATTCCTTTTGGGTGACATACAGGCTTCCCGTGATTCAATCGTTAGAGGCAGATGTGAAGCAAACAACCCAGGCATTGCTTGCTCAGCTCTTGCAACGACTAAAGTCAAATATCCCGGTGAGGACACATCATGATAAGACACGAGAATGGATTATAACTGAGCTAGTCGCATCAACCTTTGAGAAGTGCAGGATTGATTCACTTGATAAGGGACTAGCTACTGACCTCTGGAATGTTTTGAATGACTGTCTGCAGTTGCCAGAGTGTTTGAGAGTGATTGGTTATTTGCGGCGATTGGCCGTGTTTAATGAGCATGAAATTCGCCTCCAGGTACAATTATCATTTAGTCTTTTTCAGCATTATATATACCCATCTCTCTAAAGACGAAATCGAATGGGAAAAGGATTCCTTTTTAATATTATGTCTACACGCGAATCAGTTGCAAGGGTAGCTTACAAACTCGTTTCAAATCTATTTTTGTGAACCTATACCACCGTGTGAGAGCCATGTCGTGTTGGCATTCTTGATATTTGTAATCAATTTGATTGTGAGCTCCACAGCTCACCATTACGTTTTAATATTCTCTTATCTGAGCATTAATAATCCGCAAGCATGTTGGGCTTTCCATTGAATTGAAATCTCTGCCCATGTGGAAAACCACAGGGATTTAAGACATACCTTGCTATGTTGAATAGTTTCTTAGGTGCAGAGAAGCATGGTTGGTGGGTATAATCGATGACCTTGACCGAAGTAATCCATACGAGTATTTGAAGAGAATGGCGGACTGCCATCGCGTGCACTTGTTTGATGTAGTCATGCAGTACCGCGCTATATTTTCTGACGATACCTCTGGTCATGAGGAAAATACTGATGGAGGGCTTCTATACAGCTGGGCCATGCATCGTATATCGTCACATCTCAACGTGCTTCGTGAAGTATTACCTCAAATTACCGAAGGTCCGAATTTGGCCATCATATTGGATCAGTGCATGGTGAGGAAGCTTAAAGCATCCTGATTCCTTAACTTCTCGAATTGAGAGTGTTCTGTATTGGTGATGCTGTAAGAGTTTGCAAGTTTTGTCATTACCCAAGATAGTCTCCTCGCACAATCTCAATGGAATCGAGCAACGAAACAAAGAAAGAATCATGCAAGTTTGAACATAGTGGATTGGAACGATAACTCCGTATATCCTGTTTGTTTTAGTATTGTGGAATGAGCCTTGGACGCGTTGGACTGGACTTCAGAGGCCTACTTCCTCCTCTTTTCGAGAGGTAATTAAACCAATGCCTATTTTTTACGTTTAATTTGTTTAAAATTGTTTTTGTACTCTCGAAGTTGGTGTATGCCTTGGTTTTTTTGGTTATGGATTATTCACATGTTCACCACACATTTTCTGTATGGAGCACTGACATGTACCTGATCACTGGTGGTATACAGCTCAGTGCACGACTTATTTGTGCGCAATATGTCTGTTACAGTTGACAATTTCCAGGTGGTTTAGACTTCTCCACTTGCATGTTCAGTCCCTGCTGAGATTGTGTGGGTGTCTGGTAACCGCTTAGTTTATAAGTTTTCATTTCAGAGTTTTGTGGGTCAAGTTCTAAGTTTATCCTCGTATAGTTTACGGAGACAGGGTTTTTCCTCATGCCAAGAAGTTTCCAGGAGCTCAGAAAATGCCAAACGATTGCAGTGACACTAGTTTAATTTTTCTGGGCCGCAGCATCTTTAATTGAGTGGTCATGTTTCATGCTGAAGGTTCTTACAGTTCATCAATCAAGTCTGCTAATTATAAATTATCCTCTGACAGCATGTCCTCGATTCTCATCGTTGGGTACCCCTCCCACCTGTGACGCTTGGAAGAGGAACTAGCAGTCTCGACCACGCTTCGGATGACGTGGCTCCTCCTTACTCATTAATGGAGCATCCTCCACTGGCTGCTTTAGTCAATGGTATGATTCGGCAATCTCTCGTTCTAAATCCTCGTTGCTGCACAATCTGATCCCTGGTGTCCTTTAATGTTGTAATTCTAAGTGGACTGACCTCTGACAGTTGCGATCTACAGTGTGACACTGGAATTTCACATTTGTCCGATCGGTCGTGACTGAGAAACCTCTCAGCCTTTTCTTTGTTAAGTCATTATCACATGCTTTAAGGGCAGCCTCGCCCTGAGAAGTTGATCTTGATTCCCTATTACAGTTGGTGAGTGACAGGTACTGACAAGTTATGTTTGGTCTCAGGGGTGTTAGCTGCGCTGAATGAATTGAGACATTGTGCTCCTATCAACTTGAAGGCCACTTTAGCCTTCGAGCTTCAATGTGCTCTACAGAGTGTGGCTAACTCTCTCCTTCGTTACAATTCAACACGTATTGTGAAGGACAATGAGAAGTCTCTATTTTTGGCCATGTGCCGAGCTTTTATAGAGGTACTTAGAAGCATACTCATCATCATGGTTGCGTTGTCTGACTCGTTCTAGAGTACATGTAAAGACGTGTGGGACTGTCAAAACTTATGAACAATCTTAGTGAATAAGTTACGTTTACCATTGCTTACTTGAATTTTCACTACATTACGCAGTGAAGAACACTCATTGATTTTCGAAGAGACCAAGAGTCGAGAGGTTTAGAAACAACTGTTGTTGGAAATATCAAGTAATGTAGGTGGCACATGTATTAAGCCAGGTGTTGCTTCTTGTGATCATTTTCAAATGGAAGCTCGTCTTCGTTAGTGGAAGAACATCTTATACGTTTTTTGGTTTGCAGGTGGTTTGCCCATATTGTGCTCTCTGCTTTGGTAAGTGCTACTCAGGGGGCTCTACACTCATACAAACTAGCGAAATTTTGGAAGGTGTACGAAAGCTAGTGTCCACACAAACTTCTTACTCAAAGGATATCAGGAATGGAAATCGAACAAGTTCATTGGATCACATTGTTTTGCGACATAAACCAACACCTTTAGGGGTGACGAGCGACGTTGCCAAAGAAAGTGGTGAAGATACAAATGGTAATGGTAATGGTACTGAAAATGGAGGCCAAGGTACTTTATTGGAAGATAGTGTCCAAGATCATTCTGCAGGCGTTGATGAGCCACAAGAGCCAGAGATATCTGATCCAAATTTGAGCACTGGTAATCAAGTACCAGAATCATCCTAGCATGTCAATCTTTCTCAATATTCTTATTAGTTGTAACCATCGAGCCTATGTGTATCATGGATCATTCATGTACCTTCCTCAACATTCTTGCTGGGGGATATTTAGTATTTGTAATAAATTTCTTTTTTAATTCTTATGAATGGCAACAATAATCTTTGAACAGTGATTCTCTTATATAAAATTATTGTGTCTGAAAGGTTGCTGATGTTGCATTTCAATCTTCTAATTGCAATTAAAAGACAATACGTCTCATTTTAATTTAAACATTACTGGATTACTTGATTGTAATTTGTGTACCAATAGGATCTAAAAAATTAATATAAAATTTTAAATGTTCAAGTCCTTTGAAATAGACATGTGTAAAATCCATGGTTGAAGGCTTTGGGGTTGGTTCATTAAGGGAGAACTATGAATTGTTTTGAAATTGTATATTGTTTTTTATAATATTTGTAATAATAAATTTAGAGAATTGGTAATGCCACATTCCCAATTCATATTGCTATACCCCAGGTGACAATTAGCTAAGAATGTCTTTTCCTTTTGTACATTTATTTTTTGCTTTAAGAAATAAATTAGCTAATATTCTCTACTTGGCTACCAATTGCAGTTTGTCTACTGTTTTGAACTCCTTCCATTTGTGAGCTACCCATCTTTAAACTATTAGGATTAGTACAAACATTATATTCAACTTGACCAGATCTTCTACCTTTTTTTTGGTCTAATCTAACAAACCTCCATAATTTCAAGCAACAAATCATCTTGGTGTATAGGTGATGTTGGTATACAATTCAAAGCTCTAAGATGACATCCTCTTGGCCATTGTTGAATTGGATTATTTGAAGTACAGAAGAATTGTGATGTCGATTGAATCACTTTTTTTTGTGTTGTGATTTGTTGATTTGAATCCAAATTAGTGTAGGTGTCAACAAGCGATATGAAAATTGAAGTGATTGTAGGTACTCTATTTAACAAAAGAAGAGCAATTGATAAAAGAGGTTCAGTGTTCATCAAATATTGTACAAATTCTTCATATACAACCTAGATTGTTGAGAGTTTAATGTTGAAATTTGAAACAATTGGTGCTCATGTTGTAGCCTAGAGATGTCATACAAGCATTAGATTGGTGTAGTTGTTTTCATAGAAGCTAATTAGTTCAAAAACAACTTATTATCTTCCATATCATGCTATCAAGTAGGATACTTTAATACCTTCATTATATAAAATAACTTTTTAGATATCTATAGCTCTATACTGTAGTATGTTGTCCAATTTTTTTTCCTTATGTTGTCTACTATCTAGCTAATGTTAGTATGTCATTTGTCAAAATATTTAGCACTAATACATGTATGTTTAGAGATAAATGTCTAAATATCAAATTCACTTATACTTATTAATTAAGATCCATTTGCACGTATCAATGCAATACTTTATAGTATATCTTCTTTGATTGGACTTCTTAAGGAATATTTTGTAATGGTTGTTGATTGCATCATGACAATTGGCTTCTTCCAATGCCTTATTACTTGTAAAAATAGCATCTACAATAAGAGATTTGGTCATTTTGAATCTAAAGATGGTACATGTATGTTGACACATATCTTCTCATCAATGAGACTTAGTTGTGAATAACCACCACATAGTTTGCACAAAATTATTAATACATAGGTATTTGAATTTAACTTTCAATGCAAAAATCATAAAAATAAAATAAAAATAAAAATAAAAAATGACTAATAGCATTTGATTTTTGGTTATCATGAATCAATGCAAGTCTTGGTTGCACAACAATAAAACAAGACTCCTAAGCCAAAGAGCATTGTTGTCTATAATTACATGATTTGCATACACCTACAACCTATAAGTCAAAAGGTTTGTGCAAAGATAGGTATTAGTATATGCAAACCTTGATGCTTAATTATGAGCCATATTTTTAAAGAACATGTTGATAGCTTTGATCATAGTTGCATCTTATATACCTCACATCAACACTATGTAAACTTTTATTTCATGAATACCTTATTGAAGCAACAAAAACATAACAAAATTCCAATAAAATCTTAAATTGAATGCTTTTAGAGACCTCTTTAATAAACTCTAGCTCATTGAAAGCAATAAGTGATAAAACATGTTTTTCAACAGTCTAACACTTTGTATAAAGGTAGGTGTTAATATATGCAAACCTTGATAATTAATTCTAAATCTGATAAAGTCTTTAATTCTAATTTTGATCAAATCTCATTATTAATAGAATTTTATGTCACATCTACTTAATTTAAGCATATCATGTATTTGTATTTTATATATATATATATATATATATATATATGTGTATTCTAATAAATACCTATATAATTAGATAGAAGTAGGTAAGGTAAATAAAAATAGATTAATTTTATAATACCTTTTATAAAAGCTTCCTAAAAGCTGCATAGATGTTGCTTTGACTTTAGATGTGTTTGTAGTTAATTGGTAGGTTACAAACTTGGTCAACAAGTTAATTGTGTGTTGGTAGCTTGTGAAATAAGTGAACTATGTGATATACATATATAAAACTTGCCTTGCAAGTTAAGATACGTGTCTTGTAAAGTCAACATATTTTGGAGGTCTTATTGGACATCACTATGTAGCTCCTAATTAAGAGTATATATGGAGGCAAGAGTGAAGCCTTCTTTACTCTTGTCAATGCCTTTCTAGTCCTTAGTCTTGTTTCAAGGCTTTCTAGTCTTCTTATTTTTGGCAATAGCAATTCTATTTCAATATTATATCATCTTTGACTGACTTTCTAGTTCTTTTCAATGATACAAGAGTATATTGAGGATTTTCTTTTTCCAAGATTCATATCTTTGACAGTTTGACAAGAATGCTAACTTATGATTTCTATTTTGTTTTAGAAGTGAGTGGATTGCTTCACTTGTATTTTTGTATTTTAAAGGTTCCAAACTACCCACCTTTAAACAAAGAATCTTGTTTTCTAATACTAATCTTTTCTTTAAAGAAAGAAGATTATTTTCTTTGTCGAAATTTTTATTTGATATTAGAGGTTGCAGATTATCCTCCTCTAATTTAGCTTTTATTGAGTTGTCTATAGAAGAAAAGATTATGAATGCTATTCTTAGCAAAAATGAGAATAGATTTGTAATTATTATAGATCTTTATGAGCTTATCAATATTCTAAGAATAGAAATTTTACATATTTCTAACATAAATTATAGAGGTATCATTCCTACACATATGGAAGAAGTTCAAAGTTTGCAGCAAGAAGTTGTGTAGTTGAAGGAAGCAAGTAGATCAACTTCACAACCAAATGAAAGAAGTTTTGTTTCTACAAGTATGATAAGGACAAGGATTAATATGCCTAAGAAGTTTAATGGAAGAAGATCAAAATTTCAAGGATTTCTCTAACAAATCAAGTTCTATCTAAGATTGCATCTCTTCCAATATTCCAATAGATTTATCCTAGTCGGACTTTTAGATGTATCTCTATCAAGAAGTGCTCTTTTTTGATTTGTACCTTTAATGGAAAGGCATTTGTAACTCCTTTATGATTTGAATATATTCCTAGAAGTTTTTACACCCAAAGTCATCGAAAAGAGTAGTAGAGACCAAGTTCTTATCTTTATGAGAAGGATCACGATCAGCCACCATATATATTGTTGAATTCCAAAACCTTGCTTGCAACATGGATTAGAATGTCAAAGCCCTTATCAATCAATTTTGATGTGGATTAAAAGTTATTGTTAAAGATTTGTTATTGATATGTCAAAGGTAAAATCTTTACAACAATTTATTATTGAAGCCCTTGCATGCAATAATTGATTATTTAAAAGATGTCAAGAACAAAGACTTAGCTAAAGAGGAACAAGTCAAATAATGACGGCAACTCTTAAGTTTTCAAAAACTTATTCATCAAAGCCAAAACTAATGGAAATTGATACAATACATTTAAATTCCTTACAAAATAGAAAAAGACTCAATGATGTCAAGAAGACTTATGTTTATATTGTAGAAAAACTAAACACATTATTTAATATTATCCAAAAAAACAACGCAAGTATAAAATGAAAAGTATGGTTGCCAAAGAAGACAATGTATTGAAAAACGAGTTTTTTTTAGCTATGATAGGAACTATGTAGTTAGAATCTTGTATAACTCCTTATAAAGGTCCTATTCTCTCCTTTGAATCTTCACCTTACTTTATAATAGAAATTTATTTAGGAACAAAAAATTACAAAGATTTTACTTTATTATATTCAAGAGCGTTAACCTATTTTAAATACAAAGTTTTTATCAAAAAATAAGAAATTTTGTTAGTCATAAAAACTAGATTTGTACATAAAGAAGTCATAAATGGTTGTTTGTTATCTTCTAAAAATGTTAAGCATAAGACTGTTCCTTTAGATGTAGTAATTAAAGAATATAATAGCATAAAAATATTTAATGTAATAAGATCTTCATCAAATTTGGTTATTTTAGGATCATCTTAATTTAAAAAATATAATCTTTAGATAGATTAAATTTTTTATAACCTTAATTTTTTTTATAATTTAATCCAAAATCCCATTAGTCAAGTAAAAATACATAAGTCTAGTATATCCAAATCCTTACTAGTAGGTGCAAGAACTTTCATGCATGTTGTAAAAGAAGGATTATCTTTTGCTATATATGTCACACCCATTTTTGATGGTATTAAGATGTCAAGTAATATTCCTAGCTAATATCAAGATTTCTACGACGTTTTTTAAAAAAAATACAGATATTCTTCTCTAAAGCATTGTCCTTATGATTATTCCATCAATCTTCATGAAAGAGCCTAACTATCATTTGAATCAATCTATATCCTATTACAAAATGAGTTGGCTATATTCAAAGAATATATTAATGAGAACTTGGCTAAGAATTTTATACGTCATTCTATATCTCCAACTAGGGCTCCTATCTTATTTATGAAGAAAAAAAAAATGGAACTTTGTGGATGTGTGTGGACTATCAAAGATTCAATAAGATCACCTGTACTAAAAAAAAGAGATGCATCTTTTGATCAACAAAGAATGATTTTTTTTTTTGAAGTCGAAACATTTTCACCTTTAAGCAATAAAATCAACATTAACTATTGATTCAACTTTTATCAAGCAAATT